CAAGTTCAGGATTCGCTTCAATGATATCTGGCGCCATCTAGCGTCGTGAATGGGTATAACGTCTAGACCCCGAATATAGGACGACCCCCACTTTTTCAGGCTTATTTCAATGCAAAAAACCCCGTCTTATATTTGGGCCAATACGGTAATATCTGTGTGTAGTATCTGCCCGACACTACACACACAACACACACTCTAACAGACAACTACTTTGTGAGCCCTGTGCAGCCATTATGAAAAGAAGATAATACCAAAAGCATTGTTAACCACTCACTTAATGAAGGAAGAAGGAGACAAATAGGACTCCTAAGGATGTTTAGCCCCTTGTGGATGTGAGCCCACGAGGTTTGTGTCCCTTTTTGTTGAATCAATTGTCTTCATAACCTTTGTCTTTCATCTATTGATTTGTAGCGGAATTTGTATGCATATGTTTCATGTCCATATTTGTGACCGGTTCACACAGACTTCCAAGGAATTAACCCTGTATTTTTATGGACTTCGTGTTGTGCTTCATGCTACATCCTGAGTGAGCTACACATGGATCAATATTCGGATTTCTTGGACGTAGTATTTTAAAAGTTCTGTAAAGCGCTTTATTACAGCTGCAGCTCCAACTAGTGGATGCATAACACAACCGCAGCCACTATTGTAGCTTCAATTCTATGCGCTAATAATGCGGTGCACCCCATCTATGAAAACAGTTTTAAAATAGGCCATTCATTGAAGATGTGCCTTATACTCCGAAGCGCCTTATAGTGCGGTAAACAAGGTACAATATTATATTATACGGGTATTGTGTGTGCCTCTAATAAGGACATGCAATGGATCAATCTTAAAATCTATGCAGCTGTAGAATGTTGTTCACTGTGGTCTATTCCTTAATTGTGAAAACTGATAATATCCTGTAACTAACCCTCCGTGAAGTCAAACAATCTGTTCTGACGAGCTGCTTGACCTTTGTATTTCTAAATTATTGAAATGTTTTCCGTGTATCGACTGTTGCCTATCAAAAATCAGAGCTTCAGACAAACATTTTTTAAGAGGAGTACAGTGTACAGTTACCTGTAATTTTAGGGGTTCTGGAACATGTGACATTCAAGCTATTTATTTATTTTAAAAAAAAGGTTGAAAACGAGCAAAGAAATAGTTGGCAGAAAGTTGCAATCTATGTTTGACAGCACGCCACTTGTGCTGGTCGCTCCGCTGACGTCAACGTGGCTGTAGAAGCTACTTGGACACTAGCAGGCAAGCCCAAAGTTAACAGAGAGTTAATGACTCGAGGCTCACGCCGATCGCTACTAGTTTTAAGAGGTTCATACCAGCGTTGAGAAACAAGGGCAGCCATCAAATTTATCACGCAACTACCTGCACTCACGTACAAGCGGCTATTGAGAGAGTACAATTGCTTCCCCCTTCATAAATCAGGCAGAGAATTGTTGAAAACTTGGATCCAAAGTATGGAAAGTCTGGCCCAGTTCAGGAATAAGACAGGGACTACTGTCCCCTGGTGCTTGGTGGATGATCTACGGTGTGTTGGCAGCATTTTGGGGCAGGCTGTGCTGCTTGGCACGGCGTTGGCGACAGAGAGCGAGCGCATGGCACCATTGACTGGGCTCCACCGGCTGAGACCAGCCAATTCAGAGCACCACTGAGCTAAGACCGATTAGGTCTCCTGAGTTACAAAATTGCAGCGCTCTTCTTTCATCACCCAGAAAAAAAGGGGATTTTTCATTCCCCAGGCAAATGTATTTTATTTCTTTCTTTCCCCAACTGAGAAAGTTTTTCATTTCGAACTGCAAAACTCTTGTGTGATGACGGGCTGCCCGTCATAGAGACGCGACCATCCCTCCTGGAATTTTCCTTTCAACCAAATCAGTCAGGTTTTTCAGATATTTTCATTCATTTTTGTTTGACAACGCCACTTTTACCATGCATTGTAATATATAGCAATGACATTTCAGAAAAAAAAAGTTCACCTGCTCCTAACCTTCAATTCATAAATATGACGAACTACATTATTATTATTGTTATTGTGGTGTTGCGATAAAAACATGATATGCTAGAGAAAAAAAAAAACGGGGCAGAGTCGGAATTAGCACCAAAAAAAAAAAATACTGAGAAAAGTTGACTTGCAAAAAATTGAATGCAATTTGTTTCACAGTACAGTTGATCTGTTGATTGTTTTTTTCAGTTAATCAATGATTCAAATCAGAAAACAAGATTGAAAATATCCATGCTTTTATGAAAAAGCACTTCCGGTTGACAGTGCAGAAAATTCCTAGACATAAATTGATGATACTTCAATTCCTGGTTTGGTATGTAACATGTCAGAAAATGTTGTCATCATTGTTTTCCAAACTCCAAATTGGATGTTTGTAAAGAACTTATTTTGATTAAACGCAAAGATCATTAGTCTGCTTTCATGGAGGACATACAGCATACATCTGAGACTATTTGGTGATGAGAGGCTGAAATTTGGAGGACTTGGACAACAGGAAGTAAACAGTGTCTTGAAAGGATTAATTGATTATGAAAAGAGTTGTCAATCAATTGGACAGTCAAGTACTAGTTGATTAATTCAGTAGTCGTCGCAACTCTCCAGTTTTTACAATTCTTGTTTGGAGTGACGCTTCAAGAAACTCAACAGACTAAACCACCACGACTCCTACAATCTTCTTCAGCCTGATTGATTTTAACTGACCGATCGGGAAAAAAAACAGTTTCAATCATTGCCCCGCATCAACATGCACGTACACACCACAGTAAGATATGGGAAGAAGGAATATGTTAATTCCTATGTGAATTCTTAAATTGATCGTTGGTAAAATGTGGATTTGTATTGATGTCTTGAAACAATTCTGAATAAACAACAAAAAAGAAAAAAAAAATCACAAATATTTTGAGGACAAAAAAGATAACAGTCCAAATGTACTTTTTGAAATTGGAAACAACCAAATTCTAGAGGTGCAAACATTAATCGTCAACTCATGGATTAGCAAGTTAATCGATTATTATGTCAAATAATTGATGAGTTGTTTAATACCTTTTTTTGAAGATTAAAAATTGTTCAAACGGTTGGAAAACTTCTCAAAAACAAATATTATCCAATGTCTGGAGTGCTCCATGAAAGCAGATCTTTGTGTTAAATTAAAAATAAAAAAATAAAAAAAACTTTTACTTCTGAATGTAATGATCAATATATTGTTTATAACATGCTACGAACCAAACTAGTAGCCAGATCATTCATTTGTGCATTTTCTGCACTGTCAAATTGAAATCATGTCATGTTTTTGATTAAAGGGGTGGAATTGAAAACACATTTTTCCCCCCATCAATTAATCGATAACAAAATCTACAGTTTCATCAATTATTAAAATAATCATTGCACCCTCCAAATAACCAAAGTGAATTTTCATGCATGCAAGAAAGTACTTAAAGTGACTGCAGTGATGTACTGTATTTAATGGGGTTGGGACTAATTGAAACATTCATTGGATGAATTAGTTGCTTTGCAGTTCATTCATCTCATTTGAATAAGATCTAAATATTTGACTTGATGAACATTTTCTTTGTCATTGAATTCAATTGTGGACAATGATTAGACACACGTGAGCATTAACAACAACATTTAGTCAAGTGTACCATTTCTATCGAAAAGCAACACACACACACACACACACAAAACATTGACTGTTGTGCCATTTTGAACAAGGTGCAGTAACAGAAATATGATTTCAACACGCATGCCATGATGAGCAACCATAACGGCCCCTAAGATGAATGAAACAGAAAAATAAAGTAGACACAAGAGTTTGTGAGAAGGATTTCCTCCCTATCTGAGTGGGAGACCTGGCGCAGATGCACGGGATGCACTTTTTAAGGCCATTAGCTATCATAGCTAATGGTCTGTGTGTGTGTGTGTGTGTGTGTATATA